GGGGGGGGGGGGGTCAGAGGTCAAAGAAACAATGCTATCCTGCTGGAGAGCGCCAGAGGGATGGAGCGGCGTGTGTGCACAAGTGTGTCTCTCAGGAGAGGACCTCTGGGATTTCAACTCCTCAACTTCATTCATTCCTTTCTCCAAATGAAGAACAGATCCTGTTATGTCTGTCTATGTTCATTATTTGCTTAAAGCGTTCAGTTTCTGACTTGTCCTCGTGTCTTTACCTTGAAGAAACGCGGTAATGTGGTGACATTTTCGAAGTGTGGCCTAACTTTGATATACCAGTCAAAACTCTGGACTTTTGATTTGATCTTCAAAACACCTTGTGCTTTTATATTTCCTTACAAATCCAAATATAAAAAAAAAAAAAACAAGAAAAAAAACAAGAAACTGAAATTTATCATGAAAGGCAAACAGAAAAACTTTCTCACAAAAATATTATTTAAAAAAAACAAACATTTTTATTTATTTATTATTAATAATGCCTTTATTAGGGTTCTAAAATGTGTATAATAAAGCCGTTATTGATAAAACAATATAGGTGTATCCAAACTTGTTGATCATCAACCTCAGGAAGTCAAACTAAATATTAGAGTTTTATTTTCTGTTCATTTCATTTAGAGGTTTCCCATTTTAGCTGCCTAAACAAAATTTGAAACTTGGGAAAAAAGCCAAAAAAAAAAGGATTTTGTGAATTTCAAGCAATGAAGTCATCATTAATTATAAATTAAATAATAATAATAATAATAATAATGTGATGTATCCAAACTTTTGACTGGCAGTGCAGTTCAAGTGTATTAATGATCTCTTAATATTTACAGTTAGAAACACCTGCTCCATTCTCCCATTTGCTTTATTTCTCATGCATCTTTCCATCATTCTCTTTTCTTCACATGCTGTCATGCTGTTTCCTCCAGTCTTTCACCTTCCCAACCCCCTGAGCGCGTCCTCCTCAGCTCTGGACATGCATTTTTCATTGCATCTCTTTCCCTGTCTTTCACTCTCACTCTCTCTCACGCTCTCTCACTGGCAGCAGGAGCCGATAGACTCTGTTTAATGAAAATCTACAAAGACGATGAGAGAGAAACAGAAAGAGCGAATTTTTGCCAGAACTGGGCTGTAGAAGTAAACCTGAAGAAGACAAACATCATGATATTCCAAACAAGCCTAGACGTCAGGAACACAGATACCAGTTCCAAGAATCCAGCTCCAGGTGGCCAAACCGTATATCGCACAACACAGCACATGTACTGAAGCTGAACCATTACCACACTGGGAAGATGCAACATTGCAATGAGCCACATAGAGCAGAAACAACCAGAAAACACATGGCTATCTTTGTAGTCTAGAATTTTTTTTAAAAACATTTTTCATACAGTAAATGTTCTGTTAAACCAATGAATGTAATTTTTAAGCGACAGATCGGGTAGAAAGTTCCAAGTTAACAACAGCCATTTACATTTACAGTGCAATACACTGTGCAATAGAAAGCACTGCAAACACAAAAAATAAAGACTAAAAATAGCTCCCTCAGTCCGCTAGTTATAACATCTAATCCTGTTTTAAACACACATCAGTCTCGAACCAGCACCGCAGGCAAATCACACACGAATATCAGCCAGATCCTCAAAAAGCTCAAATGCATCTATACTATATTTGCTGAGCCTTTATGCTTTGTCATTCTGCTAATCTGTTTTCGTTATCTAACTACTCAAGTCTATTCTTTAAAGCTTTACTGTAAGGCTGTAGCTGACGTTTCACTGGGTAAAGCTGCCATAAGTCATGTGAAGGGCTCTGAGAGAGAAAAAGAAAAAAGGGTCTTTCTTCTGCGCCCTGTTGCCCTCGATCAGGTCGCTGTAACTCTGTAAAATGAGAGACTGAAAGAGTCCATTCTGACCCAGAAGGCTTTGCATCACTTCTAGCCTGCTGGTGAATCTGTCCGAATGAATCAAAGAATGTAGAATTTATCCAGCACACACACGTCATACCTAAATGATATTCTCATAGAAATAAAACCCGATCTCTTGATCGTCATTGTGTTGCATAATGAAGGATGCATCTGGTCTGAAGAAAAAGTACCGCTGTTATGAAAAAAAAAAAAACTGTTTCGAAGCAGCTGTTTTCATGCAATAATATTTGGAAAGTTTAATGGCACTTTCCACGAACAGTGTACACAAAAGTGCCTGAAGCACTTAGAAATTTAAGTTTTCGTTTTTTCAACAAATGGTCAGTGAAAGGAGGCACTTAACTTGTTGATTGTCAACCTTAGGAGGTCAAACTAAATTTTATATGAGCGATTTTATTTTCTGTTCATTTTGTATGAGGTTTTGCATTTTTGCAGCCCTGTGACATGTAAAATAAAGTTTAAAATCCAGATTTTGTAGCTACATTAAATACAAAATTAATAACATTTAATAATAAAAAAAACTGCAAGAATGGGGTACGGGGTTGCAAGTTTAGCTTAAATTAAGCTATAATGCAGAACAGGCTAGCTAAGATTCAGTGAAAAACTTATATTTTCAATTACTTACAGAAAAAATATTTGCTTTTTTTTTTTCTTACAAAACATGTAGGATTAAAGGTAGAGCTTGATGAATGCAGTCAACAAAAATGTTTGTTAACATGTAAAATATAATAAGATGATTTACTTGTTTTATCTTTATGCTGTAGAAAGAGACCAAATAATGTTCTTCTTAGCTTCCAAAAATGCAAGGAATATTATGGAATATTTTAAAGAATGTATTTCTAAACATTCCACAGGTAAATGTGTCTGTTCATTAAAATGGGTTAATAATTAAGATAGCTTTTTTTCTACAATAAACTGAACATCAGTTCAACAGGTTATATCAAAATTAAAACATTGTTGTATTGATTTGAATTGCTTGAGTTGAACAGGTCAAGACCTCCGAGGCAGGACAGGCCAAAATAACCATTATTAGAAGGCACTTAAAGATTTGATTTGTTTAAAATTAGCTAAAGTTCTAGGTTAATAATAATAATTTAATTACCAATATGCACTGTGTTCAAGAGAACACGGAGTAAAATGCACATATTATAGTAAAATGGCCACTAAACTCAATGACCTACAGTCTTCAGATCAGAACTTGTCCTTGATGTTCAGCACAAGTAGGTATCAGGGGCCCTGAAAAAGCAGTGCCGGATAGCAGTCTGGGGCCCCCTCAGTGGCGGGCCATGAATCTCCTCTGGCATTTCTCTCTCCTCCTCAGTTTTGTGATCTGTCCCAGTCTTATGTAAACATGACAGGGGTGTCGATGTGGAGCTGCTGTAACTTGGCAGGCCGTAAAATAGCCCCCACCCACCATCATCCCAGCAAGAAAATAATTATGTCTTGGGTCATTTATTACCTCTTCCTTCACTCCATATGTGTGTGTGTAACTTTGTATTTCAAAGGAAAAGGCAGGCATAAATATGAGGCAGCTTGTATGGCTGGACTTGTCCGACTGGTGAGTAATTCCTATGGAAGTCTTACCTATATTGAATGAGATAGCTTCGGGCCAACAATTCCCAGCGGCCTTGACTGCATTATCCGACTTTTTTGGACCTGTGCCTCACCCAAGAGTGAATTAGCTGCAGCAATTGAGTTATCGCTCCTTCCAATTTGTACACAACTTATTGAATGGCTGTTGCAGCCATGTCTTGGCCGTTTGCTTGCTGTGCAGTATTCCAGGGACGCAGACGCGCAGACGCGCACACCATGCAGCTGGGCTGAAAATACCAGCAGGTGCACTCATAACATGGCGCAACATGTGGTCTGAAATTGATAATAAAAAAAAGCACCTTACAGTTCATTGCCATAAGAAACCATCACATAAATAGCTTCTTATAACGCACAAACACAAACTAGTTTCCACGTGCATCCTTATTTGTTATCTCGCCCTTCGCAGCTACTTAATCGCCTTGGTCTTGTTTTGATAATGCGGGTGAAAATATTTTTTTCGGCCCATAACAAGACGTCCTGAGCATCCCTGATTTAAAAGCGTCTGTGTAAATCGGTGTCCTTTTCCCCTGTGATTGAAATGTAAGCAAACTGACTTATTTACCTTGTGGGAGGCCTCTGACTCGCGTAAATATTTGTTCCAGCACTAAACCAGCATGACATGGCATTTCACAATGGTTTGATGCACATCGCTCCAGCACGCTAAACGTGGGCCACCGGAGCAGGACGAGAGGCCTGTTTTTTTTTCAATTCCCCAAGCACATCACAGTCATCTCACACTCATCAACATCTGCACCAGTGAGTCAACTCGCTGAGGGACTCGTCCGAAGATAGAGCGAAAGATGGAGAGAAAGAGAGAGAGAGTTTAAGTAGAAAAGGATGGGTGACTTGATGGATACCATTTGGCCATTGCTGGAAAAAGACAAGGAACTCCAAGAACTAGGGATTCTTACTTCACTTAGCGTGCAGTTCTTAATCTCTCAGTTAGAAGCATTATGAAGAACAGAAAGAAGGTAAACTGTAGAAGAAAATCATTGAATGAATGGCTGTTTATTTAATTATGGGTATAATTATGTCCCAGTGGGTTGATTTTTATTACAATAAACAGATTTCACCTTTTCTTTTTCTGTTTTCAACGTTCCATCATTTTGATATACAGTAATTACAAAATAAATAAATAAATATTAAATTACATCCATTTTTAAACAAATTATGTCCTTCAATTGTGCTGTCATTTCCACCACAACAAACCATTTTGCTTACAAACAGAAAATTTTTATTACGTATCATGCCCAAGCTGTAATTTTGGTAAATTATGCAAGAAGTATGAAATTATTTTTCCCTAGGATCCATAAAATGCTAACTCTGAAATTAGCTAGATGAAGAGCTGAGCCATTTTATTCCAAAATTTTGTCGAACACAATAGATCATTTGAGATGTGGTGGAAAAGATATTTGATTGCAAAATAAAATAAAATAAAATAAATAAGCATAATTTCCTTGACGAATGTAAATACACTGTTGAGCAGTTGTTGTTGTTTTACTTTTTTTTTTTATTATTAACGTGCACAGGACCTAAAGTGCCCATAGTTTAAGAAAGAGCAAATATGGAGAATCCCATTGATTTTAATAAGGTTGGGATTGGTGTAATCAACAAGAGAGTGTGACTGAGAGAGTGAAAGAAGGTGAAGAACAATGTGATCCACCAGGAGTGTAAATAGACTGACACGTGGGAAAAGGCTCGGGAGAGAAACTCACTTGCAGGATAGCCGATTTATACCATGTATGTAGTAACAGTCGCCGCCATTCACGCAGTACGCCTTCTCTGACTCGTTGCATCTTCTGGCGTGACCCGAACCCGGAGATAACGTTGTGGTTACTGCAGGAAACAAAGACACAAACAATTTAAACATCAGCATGCCACCCAAAAAAAAACAAAAGACAGAGCTTTCAGTGAGTGCAAACAATAAAGAGAACAGCCACGTGGTTGCACAAGAACCGAAAACACACATGCCAGCTTCTCAGATAACATTCATTACATGTTACTGATAATTTATCACATTTCAGCTCATGTCCCATTCCCTACAATAACAGTCATTCACTAGAACAATGACTCCTTGGTTCTCATTGCAAATCTCTCTGTACATCTTTGCTGTTCTGCTGAGGTTCGAGACGTTCGATAAAGCAAAGATAAATATTTCAGCCCCACACACACCACCTGCTCCGTCTGATTCACAGGTCTGGAATGGATCCGTAATCCCACCGCATTATCGGAGCAACGTTCAACATGTTTTGGGAATACTGCACCTCAGGGGTAAGAAAAAATGATAGATTGTGAAATCACATTACGGCCACACTGACAGCAATTTGTTTACCTATGGTACCAGTTCAAGGGGTGTACATTGGGGCGCAATCAAATTTGTAATCAAAAGCAGAAATGTGAAGACTGACAGGGCAAACTGCTTCCCGCTGCCACATTATTCACATACCTATGCTGTTTCTCACCGTTGTTAAACTGAACATGTCTACAAACACTCGTGTCATCACCACCCAAATTATGCTTTTTCAAACACGCAATGGTTTCTGTTTAGCACAGCACAGTGGAACATCTTTGTCATGCTGAAACTTGCGTTCAAAGCAAATGTTTAGAAGGAACATGCTTATTTAATCTCGCTAATCACAACGAAAAAGACAAATGTGTCTCCTCTAGCAATTTTTAAGGCATCTATTTACCACATCAAGCCCACCGTTATTTATGTAATCAAAGACATATTGTGATATCCAAACTAATGTTGTTAGAGTTGCTGGTTAGCATGGCTCAGTTCGCCCCTGCTGGTCCATCCCGTTTCTACACCATTAGGGAGCAAAAAAAGCATCTTTCTGCAATGACAGCCATTCAAAAGTAGTCGTGTATTCTTGTATTATTTTTGGTGCATTTATTTATTTATTTATTTATTTATTCAAGCAGCATACTGTATTACATATAAAGGGTCAATAAGGTCAATTTATGCTCCCCATAAATAATATATAAAATTGCAATACCATTTAAAAGTTTAGAGGCAGTACATTTATTAATATTTTTGTTCAGCAAGGGTGCAACAAATTGATCAAAAGTGACAGTAAAGACATTCATAATGTTACAAAAGATTTCTTTTCCAAATAAATGCTGTTTTTTTCTATTCATTAAAGAATCCTGAAAAAAGTATCGCAAAAATATTAAGCAGTACAACTATTTTACGTTTTGATAATAATAGAAATGTATCTCGAGCAGCAAATCAGCATATCAGAATGATTTCTGAAGGATCATGTGACACTGAAGACAGGAGTAATGATGCTGAAAATTCATCTTTGCATCACAGAAATAAATTGCGTTTTAAAATATATTCAAATAGAAGAGTTATTTTAAACTGTAATAATATTTCACAATGTTAATGTTTTTACTGTATTTTTGATCAAACATATGCAGCCTTGGTGAGAATAAGAAACTTCTTTCAGAAACATTAAAAAAAGAGAGATTTCTCCACATAATGTAGGCCGCATATGTGCCATTTTGATCCCACCGACTATTACCATTACAGGTATATTTACTGTAAATGTGTTTCCTATCCATTTATACACACTGCGGGACAAGTAGAAATTATAGTCTGAGGTAACTGACAGCATGCCACACATATGGTACATCAATCTAAGATAGAAAACAACCAGGAATATTTGTTTTACTCAAGTCTGGATTCATGTTTGAGACCCTCCACTGCAGACCACCAACCAAACGTTTATTCTTCTCAGAGATTACGTGAACATGAACATGTCCTTTACCAAGTATGTTGAATCAGTTGACTAAACATGAGGGTGCAGAACCTTAAACATTTCTTATTCCTTTTTTTAACATATCATTTATTTGTGTAAAATTTCATATAATCCCAAAACTTCCTTTTTTTTTAGGTTGAAATTAGATTGTGGATGCCAGATTTTCAATTCAGTGTCAGACTTCTCTCTTATTTCATGAGACATAATGCTTCTTATACAATGATCACAAATACATGAGGCAACATTCATAATGACAGTAAGAAATACTATTGTAATAATACTAAAGTAATATTGTGAAATATTATTACAATTTAAAATAACAGAATTTTTTTCTATTTTTAATATATTTTTAAAATGTAATTTACTTCTGTAATGGCAAAGATGAATTTTCAGCAGCCATTACTCCAGTCTTCAGTGTCACAAGATCCTTCAGAAATCATTCTAATATGTTGATTTGGTGCTCAGGAAACATTTATTATTATTATTATTATCATATGTTTTTGTGGAAATCATGGTACATTTTTCAGAATTCTTTGAAGAATAGAAATGTCAAAATAACAGCATTTTTAATTATATTTTTTTCTAACAATGTAAAAGTCCTTACTGTCACTTTTGATCAATTTAATGCATCCTTGCAGATTAAAAGTATTGATTTCATTCAAAAAAAAGAAAAGTAAATGACCTCACATTTTTAAATGGTACTGTAAGATATCTTAAAGAACAAAAACGTAATGGCTAAATGTATTTTTATTTTTATTTTTACATCTTTGCATTCAGACATGATTGAGGAGTGTCTTGTTTCGAATTAAAAGAAAAGTGTGAAAATTAGTCACAGCCAAACATTTGCAGGGAATAGTCTTCAGCGTAGCCTCAGGCCTCAGACAACATAGGCTGGAAATTCAGCTGAGAACAAAACGTGCCATCTTGTTCTTCCTCTCTTTCTCTCTGCAAATGAAAAAATCCAGCAGAGCTGCAGATTTCCAACCAAGAGCAGTTCATCGTAGGACCCCGGCAACCCCGTACATACAAGTGTTGAACACCCGGCTGTAGTCAGGCCAAGAAATGTGAAATGTTAGCAGATGTGGAAGTGCACTCTATGTGTATCGGGGCCCTCCCTGATATCAAACATGATCTAGGGGTATAAATGTTACCACATCAAATCGCATAAGTGAAATCAGAGCACTGTTAAGGGTTGAATTTCAGGGACAGAGAGTTTTTGAACATTCTTGTTGACTTTCATGTTCATGAAAGTGCATGTCTAGTCAGGTTGTGTATTTATGTATAAGTAATAATCACATTGTGTGGCTCTGCAACCCTAGACAGCTTACAGAACATCTTGTGCCCGTTTGTTGTGCAGTGTGGAAAATCAGTAACATTTGGTTGTGGTGGTCTTGCATAACTTGAGTGTACATCAGCTGTTTACTGAGCTAAGTTTATTTACTTGTTTTTATTTACAGTTTTTCGCAGAAACCGTCCTCAAATGTTGAGGTCTTTGTTATAAAAATGTAAAACTCTCCCATTATTTTTATTCATTTAAAATATTTATATTTACTTTTTGCTTTTCAATATGTGCAGTTTCTTCACCACTAGCATTACAAAAAAAAAGAAAAGAAAAAAAGAACCATAACAAAATTGACTGTTTTCAAACAGGTTTCCAGAACACATCTGCCATTGTTAGGCCAAACAGACAGTCCCGTCCCAAACACATGCCATTGGTCAAGGGATTTTACAGAACATCTTGTGCAAGTTTGTTGAAATTGAATACAGGTGTGGAAAATCATTAACATTTTGTTGTGGGCTATGTTCACTCAGCTAACAAGTTTATCTACTAGCTTTTAATTATAGATGTTTTTCGCAGTAACTGTCCTCAAATGCTGCTATCTTTGTTATAAAATGCATGCTTTTTCACATAAATTGAATTAATATTATATATATATTTATTATTTTTACGTATTTTCATAAGTGTAATTTCTACGCTACTAGCATCAGTAAACAGAATTGTTACAATATTGACTGTTTTCAAACAGGTTTCCAGAACAAGTCTGCCATTGGCTGAACAAACAGACAGTTACGCCCCCCAAACACAAGTTTTTTTTTTTCTGTCTGGATACTACAGATCTGAATACCACATCTCTAAGAAAACTCAGCCATCCTGCTGCAGTTTTAAATGTTTATATTTCGAAATTCACTCAGCTGTGTGGCATTCAAATGGAAGAGCGGAAACAACAGTAATATCCAACTATAATAACACTCCTTTCAACAACATGGATACGGGCAGGCTGGGATCCAGCCGGCTGCTGGAGGCACACGTTCCATGCCACCCCCGTTCCGCCCCTCCATGCCCGCTGAGAATTTTAGCACGTCTCAGTGCCTGCTTACCTCACTAGAGCACTAATGACACAGCACAATCAACAAAACTCAGCTACCTTGGATGGAAAGATGGAGCCCGTAGACATTAAATCAGCGTTCCTCTGAGAGCTGCCCTCAGAGCCTCATAAAGACCACAGAGGCTCGAACATCCAGCTCGGCCTTTAAAACATGTGAACACTCTCCTAGAGCTTGAGGAGCAGGCATGTTTTTGTATTCCTTACCGTCGACTCTGTTTATCCCCTTGAGGGTGAACAGGGGTGCACTGTAAAGCTGGTTATATTAAAATGATATTCACTTCATGAATTTTGCCGTGCATGATGCAAAAGCAAGCAAGCGTTCCGGCGCATGCAAAACATGCTGAAATTGCACAGCTGTATATTATTCATTTAAATTTCCTGCTTGTTTTATGCATTACATAAATTTGGACTTTTCCAAACGGAATGTTTCCAAGCGCTCTCTGACAGTCAGATTAAAAACAGAGTTATGCCAGTGTTTCCAAAGCTGCAGGAAGACTTGCGTGTCAGCAGCCTGTGGGGTAATTCTGCCGCTGTCTGTCATGTTTATGCCTCTGGTCTAGTGATACACTTCAAAAATCTCCCTCCATCAGTAATTGAGCTCTGACAGCTACACGCCTGTACAATATTCCCTCATGTTTCTGAGGCTCCCATCAGCTGTCTGCTGGAGATCTGGGAAAACTCGACA